ATTTCCTTTATTTCCTACGTGGCATGATGTGTCATCCTTCTCTCCAAGTACACAACTACGCATAGATAAATAAAAATAAAAATAATCCAAAAATAAATAAATAAACAAATAGAAAAACATCATAAAAAATAAAATAATAATAATAATAATAATAATAAACAGAAAAATAAAATAAAATCCAAAAATAAAAAAATAAAAAAAAATAGAAAAAATATATTTCGTTCTATTTTGTCAGCTATATATTAATAAAATATTCAAAAAATTAATATTTTGTTAATATATATTAAAAAATAAAAAAATATATTTCGTTTAATATAAATATATGTCACTAATATATATTAAAATATATTTTTAATATAAGTTTATATTTTGTGAATTATGTTTAATACTTATATATATTAAGTAAATAAAATTTTATGTAAACTACTATATTAGATAATATAATTAATAATAAATTATATATAATTATTATTATTATTAACAAAATATTTATATATATATATATATATTAGCGAATATATTTATATTTTAACGAAATATTAACAAAATATTAACAAAGTATTTTTTATTTTTTTAATAATTTTTAATATATATTAACGAATTATAAGTTTTAGAATATTTTATTAATATATAGTTTAGGAGATAGAACGAAATATATTTTTTTGGGTTTGGATTTTTTTTAATTTTTCTATTTTTTTTATTTTTAGTATTATTATAATTATTTTTATTTTTTTGCTGATGTGTCTTTATATTTATTTAGTTTTGGATTTTTTTATTTTATTTTTATTTATCTATCTGTAGTTGTGTATTTGGAGCTAATGATGTCACATCACGCCGCCAAAGAAACTAAAGAAAGTTATAATGTGTACCTCATTCGGCCATGTCAGCTTTTTTACCCAGGTGGGGTGATTAATATATCTTTTACGACCAAATCGCCAATTACATGTTTCTTTTCCGCGAGGAACAACAAAATATCTATTTTGTTGACAACGCTCAACTTGGTGTATCATTTTTGAAATTTTGCCAGCATTCACCATTATCATGTATTCACCATTTGCATATGCACGACTTATACTGTGGGTAGTGAATAATTTTAGATTACCTTCCAAATGTTTAGGACTAATTACATCAATAATTAATCTTTATTAAATTTTTTTATGGTATCAAATGATTTGGGTGTGCTTGTCCTAAAAAAACTTATATGTCAATATATATGTTAAGTATTATTTTTTTACGTCTCCAGAATAAATCCTATACCTAAAATTGGATTATTTACTTTTTTTTTTGTGATTTCTTAGTTTATTTAAACATATTGAGAATCAATTCAAAATCTACACTATTATTTACTTTTCTCAATGATTATTTACTTTTCTTTTGTGATCCAGAAATATATTCTATCTCTATCTACAATGCATTTAAAAATCAAATTTAATTATGAGAATCATTAATTATCAAGTCATATAAGATACTCATTCTATATTAAATTGATAATTAATTATCATGAATGATTTAATAAACTAAAAAGACAAACATAATAATTATATATTTGTTTCCAAAAATATTGTTGATACCATTTCCAAAAGAAGCATTTACATTTATTATTAGTAACCTCAATTCCATCAACTCCCTCTTTATATATATATAGATAGATTGGTTTCGTTGTATAAGATTCATTTATTTATTTATTTATTTTTTTAAGTTGGGGATTGGATAGAAAATTTTAGATAAAGTACATTATTCATTCAATTTCAATATCTCTATACAATATTGGTGTGCAAAAAATATCGATGGGTTCGCACGACCTAGGTCTTCCACTTGACATGTTCGTAGGCCTACAAAATGGGCGGGGAGACATTTTCGACGTTAGCACCCTGACGATCAAGTCAGTCCACAGATGAAGAAGACGATGAACATTGTATATATTCTTTGTAAGGACCAAGAGTGTAGAGAATGTAGAGTGTGAATGGACATATCTCACTTTTTTATATAAGGGTGTGTTACATTGTTGCCCAAGTCTTCCCGGATGGGTTGACTACCTGAGTAACCTTTGTTCATACCACCTGAACTTGTCAATTTTGTTAGGCCAGGTGGTCCAATCCACGTGTAGTTTTTATCCTAATTATTTTGTTTCTTATTCATTAGTCCACATTATTAGACGATCTAATCGTGCGGCCGACCTGATGCACCTTCAAGTCGACCCATCGACCGTCATATCTTCAGTCGACAATCATCACTGTTTGGGACGTCATTATCGACCTGATGACTCTCGGACTTCTCTGGCCTTCAACATCCTACCGACATGGCGGTTTACCCGGTTCGGCTGGTCCGCTTCCCGGGTCAAGTCGACCTGATATGTTATCTCATATCATCTAGTCCCCCCCC